TTGGTGTTGGTTTCAAATTTTCCAACTTAATAATGGATGGCACCCTCTCAACTTGTCATGTCTTAGTGGGCTTGCAAGGGGTCCCATGATCCACTGTCTTGGCCACCTTACTAGACATGTTGGGTTGATGTTGAACCCGATGTGTTTGCCTCGTCCTAGATGGTGCACTAGACATTTTCAACTCCTTCGACTCATCAAAGGGGCCAAGAGTTGCCATCTTTCTTAGTTTACCCCAACTTGGCACATGCTTACTCTTCCCATATGGTTGAGAAGGTTGGTGTTTGGACTTACAGAGTTGACGACCACCTTTGTGGCCAACTTGACTCTTTCTAAAACCCATGTCTTCATGGTTTTTACACTTAACACATAACAACTCTTGATTCTTTATAGGACCATGATTGGTTGGTGTGTGTCAAGATGTCTTATTCATGCCTTCTTGTTTGCCATTCATGTTCGGCATGCAATTGGGGGCTTTAGGCATGGACTTGCTTCCTCGTCCATCCCTTAACACCATCTCATACTTAGAAATTTTTTGAGTGGGTTGGGTGTGATGAACACTCCTAGACTTGTTCTCTACTCGTTTCTTCACTGTCAGTGACATGCCCCCCTTTCCACTGGTTGGAGACATGCCCCCCATAGCCTTGTTCATGGTTTTTGACGTGCCCCCCTTTGCCAAACTCAACTACACTACCATGCTTACTACAAGCATGTGTGGCTTGGGTTTGTTGTGGCTTCTTGGGTATGTGTATCTTTCTATTGTTTGTGGTTGATTATATGCCCCCTTGTCGACCCTTCATGTGGCATGGTACAAGGGGCCTCGCCTCCTTGTGCACTCTTTGACACGTTGTCGAAGTTATGAAAATCATAGGTGGCATGGGTAGGCAACACCCACTTAAACTTGCCACTCACTCCATCCTTTATGTCTGATGACATGCCCCCCTGCCCACTGCATAGAGATGGAGATATGTCCCCATGCCATCCTTAGGAAACAAATATGGTGTTTTGTTGGACACACCATTTTGTTCACCTTTCTTGACATCAACTTGCCCCTCACCCTCACCCTGACTCTTCATCTTCATCTTGTCAGATGGTAGGCTTCCATGCACCTCTTCCTGCCCCCTGGTGGTTTGCATCCACCAGACCGCTTAAGCATCGATGGCAACGAGGTTGGGAAAACTTGTGGTAGCACATCCATAGCTAGTGACCCTCCACCAACTGTCATGTTCAAGAATGGTCTAGCCTTTGAGATAGTTTTTAGAGTAACTGTCAGCACAGGCGGCGGTTGCTTTACATGGGTGGTGAATGTTTTAGTAATATTCTTGTCATAACTGCCTTGTTGAAGAGGTGGTTGACTCATTGTCGGAGAAGGTAAGTTCCCTGACCGTGGTTGGGTAGTCCGGCCACCGGAGAACAGGATACTTGTATACTCCGTAGCAATACTTGGTGGCGGATCTATACCATTTTTTGGTAAAGAAATTTCTCGCACCACTGGTTCTATAAAATATTTTTTAAGCTTATCCAAGCAATATGTATTTTCGTAGTTGCTTCAATCAATTCATCCAAACGTCTATCTAACATAGAACTAAAAGAAGCAAGTTTTAGACTTGTCTGTTGTGAATTTCTAACAAGTCCATTCAAACTCTCTTCCATTAATCGACGGATCTCCACCATCACTTGACGGTTCTCCATCACCATCTTGCAGTTATCATCCATTATTGAGCGGAGTGACATGGCAGTGGTGGTTACATCGGCACAAGGTGCCACTGGTGGCAAGCTCAATCATGCCATTGTTTCCGACAACACTTACTCATGCTTGGACAAATTTGAACTTGGCCGCCAACTCCTTCGCAACTCCTGGTGAAATATCACCTTCCTGTTCTCTCAGTCGTGGAGCCATCAAATCAAACACATAGAGTCCCACCGGGTGTGCCAATTTATTTTCCGGCAAGGAAAAACTTGTGTTTGAACACAATGAATGCACCTTTGACTTCTTGAACAATGACAATCAACACGGTTCACACCTCTCCGAACAATGTTCGAACGAGGGTGTTTGATGTTTTTTATGGTTTTTAGGAATAATCTAAGTTATGTAACTCTACTCCTATGGAGGTTCAGTGAGGGCTCCGAAAACTAAGGGCTATGGCTAATTCGCAGAGAAATGATAAAAGTTTGACATAGTGTGTCAAATGGTTGGTTGTGGAACCCTTTTACAATTTTAGTTTCTCCTATTTATAGACATCAAGTGTAACTGCCTTGGTAACTGCCTTTGTAACCGCTAGCATGACTGGATGAGGTTGAGGCTCTTGCCTTAGCCTCTATGAACCATGATGAGGTCTTGATTTCACCCTCGACTGCTTGATGACTCCCCACTCCTGAGTCCGCTACCACCTCATGACACCAAGTCCTTCTCATTAACTTGTTGGTTGTTACCAAGCCGTCTCCTCGGCTTGATACCTTCTGACATGCCACCAAGCCCATGTAATCAACTTGACACCCCTTGCTACCAAGCCAGTCTTGGTGGTTTGGTCACCATATTTAGTTTTTGTAGCCTCGTCAAGTGGTAAGTTGCACCCTGCCGGTTGGGTACCCCGTGAAGGTTCTACCAATCCCGTCTTTGGACTTTGTCTCCATATGGCCTCATAAGGGCTGAGCTCGGCATCCTGGTCGATCCATCCATAGTTGGGTGTCCACCTCAGCTAGTCACCATGCCTTAGTCGAATTTCTTGTCTTGTTGGCTTGATACCCTGATGTATGGCTATCAAGTCCGTCTTGTTGGCTTGATATCCAGACTTAGTTTTTGTATGACTCTCTTAGTTGGTACCTGGCTTGGCCCCCTGTTGCCTGGCCACCAAGTCAGTCTTGCCGGCTTTATACCCCCTTGGGGTCATGGTACCCTGTCGCCTTGCTTGGCTGCCAAGCCTGTCATGCCGGCTTGGTACCTTGTAGGGGTCTTGGTACCGAGGTCGCCTTGCCCGCCTGGTACCCCCTTAGCTCCATACATAGCCAATTTTTATATCTTTTGGTATCAAGCCTACCTTGTCGGCTTGATACCCTTTTGCTTCATACTTAGCCAAATTATATGTCAAAGTACCAAGCCCTGCTTTGCCGGCTTGATACCCCGTCGTTAACATCCGGTCATTTGGCACCCTGTTGTGTCACCTTGTTTCCAACACTTAGTTTTTGGATGACCTCCTATTTGGTACCCGCTTGGTACCCGGCCGTTTGGCACCCCGTTGTGTCGCCTTGTTTCCCATACTTAACCTTTGGATGGCCTCCTATTTGGTATCCGGCTTGGTACCCGGCCGTTTGGCACCCCGTTGTGTCGCCTTGTTTTCCATACTTAGCCAAATTTCTTACTTGGGTATCAGGCCTGCCTTGTCGGCTTGATACCCTTTTGTTTGACCCCCTTATTTGGTACCAGGCTTGGTACCCGGTCGTTTGGCACCCCATTGTGTCGCCTTGTTTCCAAGACTTAGTTTTTGTAGGCCAAATTTCATACTAAGGGGTGGAGGCATCGTCCGACTATGGGGGCCTCGGAGACGGGTCGGCCATCGTATAGAGGAGAAGGGGGTTGGCCACTTAGGCCCAAAAATCTAACCCAACTAGGCCCAGCTGGCTCTTTTAATCATTAATGTTGAGCTGGCCTTATAAATCCATTAATCCCCTTGTAATTAATCGATGTGGTACAAGCTGATTTTTTTATGGGTAAACAGCTGGATTGGTGTTTATACAGAGTACTGGAGAATGGGGCTAAAGTTTCCCCTTGAGCCGCTCTTATGTGCTCTTCTACGCGTCATAAAGTGCTCTCTTGCACGCTTTTCTCCTTCTGTTATTTTGCATACGTGTATGTTTCGCCTGTCTTGCAAGCAGCGCAATATCCCGCCCTCTTACGGGCTTTTCCGGAAGTGTTACAAGATGAGGGTGCCCGAGAAAGCTACTGGGATTTTTGTGAAGAGACGCGATCGTCGTAACAACGGCTATGTTTACGGCTCGCCAAAGCTGGACAAGCCATGCTTTAATAGATTCTTCTATGTGAAGCCCGTGCCGGAGGAGTGGTCAAGTGAGTATGCGCCTATCATGGCACCTTGGTCAGTTGGTGATATAAGGCAGATGGAGTCAGAGACGGGGGGATATGATGGGCTAAACGCGCATTATGAGTTGCTTTTGAAGGAGAAGATCAATCTTTACGACATGAAAGTCTGCGCCCCTTTGCTGGCGGACTTTTCAATATTTTAATTACTCACTATAATAATTTCCTTGGAATGATAGGTTGTGAGAATTGAACTTTATAAGTTATGATACATCGTGTCAACTCTTATACTTTATCACTTGATTTATAAGTCACTAATTTATTTCTCTCATAATATTTCGATCGTCTTATTGGTAATGTACAATTTGAAAATAAAGAAAGGTTATCACTTGTGTTGCTATATTAAAAGACTGGTTGGTAGGTGTTTGTGGGGAAAGCTGCTCTAAGCATTCGAGTTTGTTCCTAATACAAAAAAATTTATGAGTTCTACAACAATATTTCTAATGCGTACATTTTAATTATCATTGAAATATATCATTCACTCTATGAATTTTATACTTTGCTAAAATATACCGATGATTATGTTGATAGCCTTTTCTCTTTAGTAAATCATATATCCCATGCCCCAAATATTTTGATATTGGCGTGGGAATCATTGTTACGATAAGATTTAATTCCATGTGTATTTCATTCATAATCAATCTATAAATATATAGATTTTAATTTGCAAAACCTTTTAATAGCTAAACCAAGCTATTTACTGGGCCGAGTTTCAAACCAATCCACTGTTATACGGCTTGGCGTGTCTGTTTGTAGGCCGAATCTAAGAAGTGCCAAAAAGCCCAAACCGGTCTTCAATCGATACGGGCTAGGCCTTTTAAGTGCGCTCTCACACGCTAATGCTCGTGGGCGCTGCCGCAGCTTATTATTATCTCAAACGCCGACTCTGGAGTAGTAGTAGTAGCCAGTAGGAAGAGTGACTGACTGAGCAAGAAAGAAAGTAGCACCGTTCGTGGCCTGTGATTTCTGCACTTCACTCCCGTTGCTGTTCATTTCCGATCTCAGGAAAATGTCTGCGATCTTCCGTCGACTGGCTTCGAAATCCGCCACCCCTACTCGGGCGTCTCCTGGTGGCGGAGGAGGAAGATCACTCTTCAAGCGACTCCGTCTCCCCATCGGCGTTGCAGTTGCTGCTGCGACTGGAGTGGCCTACTTCTGCTACGACGACACTCCGATTACAGTTCATGGACTGGTTGAGGTATGTATCGCTTTCATGTTAGAGATTCGAACTCGTAGGTGCTCTGAATTTTGAACCGGTAGTCGTTGATTTGTTCGTCGAGCTGCTCTGTTGTTGCTTGATTGAAATACTTCGAGGTTTCGAGAGATTCGACTTCTGGATCGTTCTTAGGGTTTTATAGACGAAATGTTTTGGTGGAACTTACTCTTGATCTTGCGGCTGTTCTCGAAGCTCTGGTTTATTCGGTTTTGCCTTCTGAATCGGGAACTAACGCCGTTGATGCTGTGAATTTTGAACCGGTAGTCGTTGATTTGTGCGTAGACCTGTTCTGTGGTTGCTTGATTGAAATACTTGGAGCTTTCTGAGAGATTCGACTTCTGGATCATTCTTAGGGTTTATAGTGAAATGTTTTGCTGGAACTTACTCTTGATCTTGCGGCTGTTCTCGAAGCTCTGATTTATTCGGTTCTGCCTTCTGAATCGGGAACTAACGCCTTGGCAATTTGCTCTAGGTTCACCTGAAGGAACCAAGCGAAGAGAATGCTCCGCAAGTTGGTAAGCCTCCTTCTCCTTCTGTTTTGTTGTCTGTTTCTGAATTCTGACCGCAAGTAGTGAATTAGGGTAGCTCACTGTGCGGGTTGCTTGTTTATTATTCTCGTTTTCAGTTCTCGATCCGAAGAAGCAGACTGAATTCAAGATTCAAGACACTGCAACTGCTAGTCACAACATTGATTTGTACAGGTATGTTCAGTGTCCATATCAATGTCAGTAGTACCTTCTCCGTAACATCGTATCAGCTGGCCCATATTTAGTATCGGTATAGCATACGTGTTAAGGACTTTCAGTTCTTTGATGATGTGAATAGGGCATGTAGCATCTTCAGTTAAAGTTTAGTTTGATCACTGTGGGAGTGTGGGTAGCTTTTAATATGTTTGCCTCTTGCTGTAATGGCAGGCTTACTGTGAATTACTCTAAGAAGCATGGTTTGAATGTTGCTGCATCCCCCATTGAAAGGTAAATAGCATGCTGTGTATAACAAAGCATTGTGTCACATTGTATTTGTTCTTCCTTTAGAATCCTGATAACAGTATTTTGCCACTAGAAGTCCGTCTACGCTGTTGGATTGTTACGTTGTTTTTAGCTAAAAGATAGAACCTGTTCTGTGTACAGGAACGCTCCAGGCTCAGATCCAGCAGTTGAGGAAGACTATGGCCTACTGATCAAGGTATATGTCTGCTGTCTGCAGCAAAAGTCTGGGATGTACTTCAACCTTATGTGAATTCTTTCTTTTAAAGCGCATTTAAGCGGCTCGAGCTGAGTTGATTCTCATCTTTGGGGAAAATTGTTGCAGCTTTTTCCTGGTCCTGAGATGAGTCGGCGTATTGCTAGCTGGAAGGGTGCTCATACTGTCGAGGCGAAAGGGTAGGTTCTTTGAAAATCACGGTTATGTTGGAGAAGATTAAGAATCTGCACTTACCATCACTGTTATTTTGTTTGCTGCAGGGAAATTGAGGAGTGATCTACACTCCAACGTCGAATCAGTAATGATATAATCAGCGGGAAATGTAGAGAGTAAAGGTACAGAGAGTGTTTAGGACAGTGGGGGTTTTTTTTTTTTTTGATTTGTAAGAAATATAGATTACGAAAGCAAGGAAAGTGGCAGCAGTGCCATTACATGATAGAAGAGAGTGCTAAGGACGGGGAAAAGAGTGGCCAATACTATCTAACTCCAAAAGTGGAATAACTTGTGGAGGCGGATTTGGCCATAAGTGTTCCCCATCTCTGCAACTATGACCCAATGCAGCCATAAGATCAGCGACTGCATTTGCTTCTCTTAGGATGTGTGAGAACTTTGTAGTCCATGGTTGACGGAGAAGAGCACGGCAGTCAGCGATTAAAGCTTCAAGAGGGTGAAACAGATCTTTTTCGGATCGGATAAGGTGCACTGCTAATTGCGAGTCTGATTCAACCTCAACATTTCGAAATCCGAGTGACCATAATAAAGAGAGGCCATCCCGTATGGCTCGAACTTCGGCTTCCAAGATTGAGATGCAGCCGACGTGGGTTGAAAAACCCAACAGCCACTTTCCTGCATCATCTCTAGCAACACCACCTATAGCAGCTGATGCTGAATGGCTAAACGTCGCCCTAACTTTACTATTATTGCCCTAACTTGAAATATAAAAATACTAAATTACCCTTCATTAATCAAATTAAATTCAACAAAACAATCAACTTCTGAAATCCCTAATCCTCCATTCATCCGGGCTAGTTCTACATGACTGATTGCTCCACGGCCGGAACCGGAGGATAGACCGGCCAATTAATATGGAGGAAACTTGCATAACAATGGACATGGATGCCAATTTCCCTCTTCCCACCCAGCGACACCAACATGGATGCCAATTTCCTTCACTTCCTGCCCCCAAAATCTCTAATTTTCACCGCCCATCACCCCGCCACTTTAATGCTAACTACTACTAAACAGTTACATTGATCAAGTTTCTCGCCGCAGCCGGGAGAAGTCCACTAGCGGGGACGAAACTCCACCGCCAACGCAGCAGCTTACCCTAAAATAACAACTTTGCCGGAGAGCGTAGAGGTGAGGTTCTGGCGGTGGTAAAAAAAGCGAGCAAACAGGATGTTGGCGGCGGGTGGTTGAAAATCAGGCGCCGAGTCAAATTTTTCCAATTGTGTTTTAATAAGGGTAAATAGGTAATTTTAATTAGGGCAATTATAAAACTTAGGGCGACAATTAGCAACCCTCCAGCTGATGGGGGGTCTATTGTTCTACTACCATCCACGTTGAGCTTTACCCATCCTTGTGGAGGACGATGCCAACTAATCCAACGTATTGCTTGTGGGGGAGAGGGTTGATTGGTGACGCATTGGGTGATCTCCCCTGCTAGTCTTGTGGATACTTGCCAAAACCTTTCACGCGACCATGATGCTTTTCCATGTACAAAGTCATTTCGTTCTTTCCATATGTTCCATATTATAGACATACTCCAACTCTGCAAGGGGAATCCTTGGATGAGTTCATCACCTGCACAAATCAGAATGTGATAGAGCCATTCTCGTATTTCCATTGAGAAGAAGGAACTATGTGATGGAGTGATTAAGTTGTGCCAGCGGGATCTTGCGTGAGAACAGTCTCGAATAACATGAATAGCAGTTTTAGGTTCAATGTCGCATCGCGGACATGAACGGTTTACTGGTACATGTCGGTGATGGAGGAACACCATTGACTGAATGCTTTCGTGGAGAAGCAGCCACACAAAAGAAGATAATCGCCGAGGACCTGGAAGCTTCCAAACCCACTTCCAGTTCGAACATGGGGGAGGCAAATTGATAATTCGTGAGGGAAAGAGATACCAATATGCTGTTTTGGAAGAGAATTTACCGTTGCTAGAATGCTTCCATATAATTTGGTCTGGAAAGTCAGCAGAGAGGGACAAAGGTACTTCTGCAATTTCATAACATATGTTGTTTGGTAGGAGGCGACGGAGAGCCGGCCAGTTCCAAGTTCCTGGGGAGAGTATAAAGTCTGAAACTTGATGATCAGTTGTAGGTGGTGGAGGAGCGTTAGCAATGCGCAGAGAGATAGGTCCCAAACGGAGCCAATCATCGTCAAATATGTTCACATTCTTGCCGTTACCGATCCGCCAACTAAATCCATGTTGAAGGGCGAGGAATGCTTTAGAGATCCCTTTCCATGTGGCTGAAGCAGTAGCTGGAGGAGCTTGAGTTGATAAAGAGCCATATTTGGAAAGGAGAATTCTTACCCAAAATTTTGATGGGTTCGTTAGAAGAGTCCATACAAGTTTTCCGAGAAGAGCAATGTTGTTGAGGCGGGTCTGTCGAATGGCAAGCCCTCCTGAAGATCGTGGAAGAGTAATGTCTGACCATTTGACAAGCGGGAAAGAGCGCTTATCATCCTTGGCATCCCATAAGAAATCGCGGTTGAGTCGGTCCACTTTAGAGCATATGGATGCAGGAAGCCAAGCTGATTGCATCGTGTGAATTGGCATGGTAGTCGTTGTAGAGTTGATTAGTGTATCCCTGCCTGCAACACTTAGCAGTTTGGATTTCCATCCTGCTAATCGTAATTGAATTTGTTCCACCAAAGGAAAGTAGGTAGCATGAGAAACTCGACCGTGTATCATTGGGACACCAAGATATTTCCCCAAATCTGAAGTAACTTGGATGCCGGAAATAGTCGCCAACTCATGCTTAAGTTGTGGGGAAGCTTTTTTGGATACAAACAGTGCAGATTTGTGTAGGTTGACTTGTTGGCCGGAAGAGCTGCAGAAGGCAGCAAGAGTGCTCTTCAATACCGTTGCCTGTTGGGGATTAGCTTGGGCAAATAGAAACAGATCATCTGCAAAAATTAGATGAGAGATAGGAAGACCTGTTCTGCAAATTTTAATTGGTTTCCATAGACCCTTTGACACTTCATCTTGTATCAACAAAGAAAGACGTTCCATACACAGGGTAAATAGGTATGGAGATAAGGGTTCACCTTGACGGAGGCCTCGAGATGTGGAAAAGAATTCTGTAGGCTCTCCATTGACAAGTATAGCCGTTTGAGAGTGGGTGAGATAGAACATGATTAACTGAATCCATTCTGCCGGAAATGCGAAGAACTGTAAGGTATCCTTAAGAAATTCCCAACTGAGACGGTCATATGCTTTCTCCAAATCAATTTTTGCCGCCATAGCCATATTCCGTCCTGTTCTTCGTTTGATACTGTGAACGACTTCCTGAGCAATAATAATGTTATCATGAGTAGTGCGTTCCGGAATAAAGCTGCTTTGAGAAGGGCCAATGAGGGCGTCCAACAGTGGTCGGAGTCGGTGGACAAGGACTTTGGAAAGCGTCTTGATAAGAACATTACACAGGGAGATCGGGCGGTACTCATTAAGACCTTGTGGAAATTGAGTCTTCGGAATGAGTACAATAAATATTTTGGCTGCCACTGGATCAAAAGAGGCCTTTGTGAAAGCATTTTGAATAAAAGGTACGACCGAGTCTTGCAAGTTACTCCAAAAACGCTTGTAAAACGAGGGCGGGAAACCATCTGGACCCGGTGCTGAAGAAGACTTCATGGAGGAAATTGCCTGCCAAACTTCAGAGGGTAAGATTGGAGATGATAAAGCATTTTGATTTACCGTTGATAGCTGTAGGCGTGATGTGGTGGGAAGAGGCACAAATTCAGTGGAGGGTGCTGCAAGTAGAGTCTGATAGTGTGTGATAATTGCAGCTTTTATCGAGGAAGGTTCATCAAACCACCCACCAAGTGGATTCCGTATTCTTTCTATTTTGTTACGCCTTCTGCGAATTTTTGTGGAGGCATGGAAAAACTGGGTGCATCGGTCTCCTGCTTTGAGCCATTGCACACGAGATTTTGACTTCCAAAATTCCTCCTCCTGCTGCAATAGGGTTGTGTATTCTGAGCAAAGGGTAGACTGAAGGCGCCACGCCATCTCTGATGGCCTTCTTGCCAGTTCAGCTTCAATGCCCTTCAAACGGCCAAGAATTTGGCGTTTCCTGCGAAAAATATTACCAAATATTGCTCGATTCCAAAGGAGGGATCTTTGTTGAACATCTACAAGGATGGGCAGAATTGCCGGTCCTGTCGATGCTACTGCAGCTTCCACCACTGATGGGAAATCCTCGTGAAGGAGCCACATTGATTCGAACCTGAAGGGCCTGAATTGAATTGATGGGAGACGACTCCTAGTTGTGAGGATAATGGGGCAGTGATCGGATTTAATTCGAGGAAGGTGAGTTACAGATGCTTCTGGGAATAACAATCTCCATTCAACACTTGAGATGGCTCTGTCCAGTCTTTTTTGCAGGAACCCATACCTTGAATCACGACGTAGCCATGTGAATTTTGCTCCAGAGAAACCCAAGTCAACAAACCCACAAGCATTAATGTTACTGGCCAAAGGGAAGGAGCGTAGGGAGGAGCTTAGAATTCCTCCTTGCCGTTCCTCCAAGGAGACGATTTCGTTGAAGTCGCCTAAAAGTAACCACGGCAAATCTATGTCAGATGCAACGGAAGTCAGGTGAGACCATAGGAGTGCTCGTTGTCCTGGAGAGGGACTGGCATACACTGCTGAAAGCATCCAACTTTGCCGCTGAGGTTGTTCGACAAGAAGATGGATCACTTGAGGATGAACCACTAAAGGAGAAATAGAGATGGTGGAGTCTGACCAAAGAACCCAAATACCTCCTGACCGACCAGTGGCTTCTGAGATGCTGGATTGAGAAAAGGAAGAGAATGGATGACATCGGTCGCCTTGTCTCCGCTTATTTGTGTTCCCAAAAGAATCAAAATGTCAACTTTTTGCAGAACGCAGAGGTCCTGAACGAGAGTGATGGTCCTGCTGTCCCCCATTCCTCGTATATTCCAAGAGCAAATAGTTAGATCCATATAAAATTAAGGAGGGTGAAAGCAACGGGCCCAAATCCGCTCGTGGCCCACTAATTGGAGCTATTTTGGAAGCCTCGTATTGGGCTTCGGCTACGATGTCGTTGTTGGCCTGTAGTCTGCTGAGTAGAGGAGTCTCCCTGCGTGGCAATTGCCGTGCTGGATGACAATAATTGGGGCTGCAGAGAGGGGTTATCAATGCTCATGTCTGTATGGTTTTTTGGGGAGATGGAGATGTTTGCTTTTTCAATGGGTGGGTGCGATTGTGTTGAGGGAATTAAATGGGGGATTGGGCTTGGGGAATTAAATGGGGTAGGTTGGGTGAGATCTCTGACAAGAGAGGAGTGCCCATCTATTTCCTTTTCTCTTTCTTTATCGAGATTGATTGGGTGTGGAGGGGATGGGGCAGCATTGATGAGTACTCCGGGAGGAGCCAATGACGTCATTGGTGAGTGCTTGGCCGGAGCGCTTGACATCGGCGGCTGAGTGACCAAAGAGACGGGTGGATGGCCAGAGACTGGAGGAATGGAGTTGGTTTCTAGGGACAGGTTTTCCGTGGGCCGATTCCCTGATTGTTGCGGTAGTTTCCTCGGTAGAGAGGGGGGATGTGGATCCCGGACAGACTGGAGGGGACGAAATCTATTAATATTTGGGTTTAGTTTGGAGTTATTCGTTGATGCTGCCATTGGTTTCACCGACCTCCATTGTCTTGGTTTTCTCCTGGGTACCGCCATCCACTCCCCAAATGTGGGGGAAGAGTGAATGCTGCCTGTATCAAGGATCTCTGATTGTGCTGCAGGGACAGTTTGTTGAGGAGATTCTTGTGGCGGAGATTGAGTAATGATGGTGGTGGAAGCATTGGATGGACGAGGAGAAAATTTGCAAACCTCTTTTAGATGACCAGCTCTACCACACTCCCCACAAACAGCATGGATTCCTTCATATTCCACTAGTCTCCATGCATTAGCCACCCATACCTTAGGCACAAGAGGCTCATCCAACTTGATCTCTACACAAACGCGAGCATAGCATCCTCGAGTAACGAGGGCAGTTTGTCGATCTATGCGAACAGGCCTTCCCATACAAGATGCAAGTGTGAATAGGATCTCATCGCGGTAGTACTCTGTTGGGAGGTGGGTGAAGCGAACCCAAGTGAGCAGGGTGGAGATGCGGGAGCTGAACGGGTTAAAACCGGGAGTCCATAGTTGAATTGCTAGAAATTTCCCTGCAATTATGTATGGCCCTCCCGAAATAACACGAGTTAGGTCCTCCGGGTCTTCAAATTTCACCACTGAAAAGCCGTTGCCCAACTCTAAGACCTCCATTTCAGCAGCAGGAGTCCACAAGGTATGTAGCCGGTTGACCAAGAGATGATGACCGACTGTGTTACCGTATGGCTTGATAATGATGGCATTTTTCCATGCTTGACATTCCTCTTGAAGTAGGTCATCAGATAAACGCATCATAGGCATAAGCTTATTGCCATTAGCGTAATCAATATGAACTTTGGCCAATACCTCTTTCTCCAACAAAAATTCCGATGTGGCAGCGTGAGCAGGTGAGGCCGAGCGGCGGCCTAAAAGGCGGTCTTTGAAGGAGACCCCTGGATCCGGTGGTTTTGTCGGTTGCTCCGAGACAGCAACTTCTTCGCCGGTGGACATCAAGTTGAGAGGTTTTCAAGTCTCCAAACTTCAAAATGAAGAGGGAAAGAGTTCTTTTGGGCTCCGAACACTCCTTGTGTTGGGCCCAAAAGTATCCACTGATCTGAGCCATAATTACTTTTTTTTTTTGTAGGAAGACGGACGTCGTGCGTCCTAATTCATAACATTAATAGAACGATCCATGGAGATGGCCATGGAGTCATACATCAACCAGTTACAAAAACTAGGATCGTACACATCGAATGGATGTGTACCAAAATTGGCCGAATGGCCCTTGCTTGCCAAGAAATCGGCAGCGTAATTACTTTCTCTATATACATGGGACACCTTGACATCCCATTCAAAATCCAGCAGAGTTCCAATGCGAGCAGCAATGAGTCCATAACGATGATCCGTGTCTTTGTTGTTCTTCATGATACTGATCGCCGTCATAGAGTCGAGGTTGAGCTCAACCTTTCGGTACCCTTTGTCCCACGCTCTTTGTAGTCCAATTTCAGCGCCTTTAAGTTCGGCCATGGTGATCGTGCAGTTTCCTAAGTTACAGATGAAAGCGTCAAGACACCTGCCGAGATGATCACGAATGAGCCCTCCCGCCGCCGCCTTCCCTGAACTTTGAAGAACTGATCCGTCAGTTTGGATTTGGACCCAGTTCTCCCTTGGTGGCTTCCACGTAATGGGGGTGGAGATGAGCTGATTCCTTGGTGATAGAATGCTCCTCTCCTCGTTAATCTTTGCTTGCTGGTACACTCGAATCCAGGAGACAATCTTGCTAATGAGCCCTGTTTCGGAGAACTTTTTCCCATCCAAAGTCTCCTCATTTCTTTGCTTCCAAATCATCCAACACATGATACCAAATTCAATTCCTTTCTCAGCATCATTCAGGTTCTCCATCATCCACTGTTTGAAATTTCTTGTATCATGGACATGTTGTCCGATTCTGAAGAAATGTCTGACTCCCTCTGTTTTTTTGCACTTCCTCAGGATGTGCTCAATTGTTTCCAAACCATCGTTGCAGGCCTTGCAGCTGCCATCATTTGTCATTTTTCTAATCGTTCTTTCGTGGTTGGTGAGCAGCCTGTTGTGCATGACCAGCCAGAGGAAGTGCTTCACTCTGCTTGGTCCACTCCACTTCCACAGCTCCTTCCAGCCCTGATCATCCATCATGTCAATCTCGTTCGCAGCAAGCAGGTAGGCCGACTTCAGCCTGAATCGTCCGTCCTGTTCAAGTCCCCAGATAGTGGTGTCCTCCCCCAATCCATGTTTTGGAGTTTCCATCCCTGCAATGCGAGACAACCAAACATTAGGGAGGAGAGAGTTAAGCTTTGTCCAATCCCACTCACCTTGTTCATTCACCATATCAGCAACTGAGGTAAGTTTCTCATCATCAGTCAGGGTTCTGAGGCAGTGTTCCTCCAGTATTGTGTCTTGATCAATCCAAGGGTGGTTCCAAAACTCAGTTGTTTGCCCATCCCTAATACTCCCAAACAGTAGCTTTTTGCATCAGAGGGTAGGCTTTGAGAATGCCTCTCCAAAGGCTGGAATGGAAACTTTTCTTCATTCCAGTGATTCTCCCTTCACGATGATGAAAGTACTTCCCCTGCATCACCTTAACCCAAAGCTCATCCTTGCTGTTGAGAATTGTCCATGCCAATTTCACCATGTATGCAAGGTTGAGACTTCGGACAGATTTAAGTCCCAATCCTCCTTGCTGCTTCGGTCTGCAGATCCTCTCCCACGAGACCAGGTGGACCTTCCTTTTTCCTTCCTGGGAACCCCACACAAACCATCTAATCCTGCGATCAATTTCATCACACACAGATACAGGGAGCATAGAAGTTTGCATAGCATAGGAAGGAATTGCATTAAGAACTGACAGAGCAAGGGTAACCCTTCCAGCGAGAGAAAGGGTTTTAGCTTTCCAGGCTGAAAGTTTACTGTCAATCTTCTCCAATATGTATTTGAACGTGTTCTTGGAGATTCTTCCATGGAGGACAGGTACTCCCAGGTACCTTCCCAGGTCTGCTGTCTCTTGAATTTCCAGTCTGTGGCAAATCTCCCTCCTGTTTGGGCATTTGACATTCTTGGAGAAGAAGATTCTCGACTTCTCTTTGCTGATCATCTCTCCTGGGGCTGAGCAGAAAGCTTCCAAGCAGTCCATCACAACATCAGCCTGTCTCGAACTAGCCTCAGCAAGGAGCACCAGGTCATCTGTAAAAAACAGGTGAGAAAGAGAAGGTCCCCCTGGTGACAGCTGCACAGGTTTCCATCTCTTATCCCTAACAGCACTCTCGATGCAATGGCTGAGCCGCTCAACACAAAGGGTGAACAGGTAGGGCGAGAGTGGACATCCTTGGAGAAGTCCTCTGCTAGGCAAAAAACATTCAGATTCACCCCCATTCCAAAGCACCTGCAGTTGCGTGGAAGACACACATTGCATAACAATAGAAACAAAATGGGAAGGGAGTCCAACAAGGTTCAGCGTTTGCTCCAAGAATGCCCAATCAATTCGATCATATGCTTTTGCAAGATCGATCTTCATAAGCATCAGTCCCTTCTTCCCTGTTTTTCTGGCCATCGTATGAACCGTTTCCTGCAAAATCAGAATATTATCCGTAATGTGACGCTTAGGAACAAAGCTTGTTTGATTTGGTTTAACAAGGCTTGGCATCAATCCTTTGATCCTATTCGCCAGGCACTTGGCCACTGTTTTATAGCCAACGTTGCATAAGCTGATCGGCCTGAAATCACTCATGGAAACAGGGGAATCTTTCTTAGGGATGAGCACCAGCAGAGTCTCATTTATGGAGCTGATTCGGCAGTGGTTCACAAAACAGTCCTGGATGAATCTGCAGAAGTCATCTCCCACATTGTCCCAGCACTTCTGGAAAAAGAGGGCGTGGAACCCATCTTTTCCAGGGGCCTTCAGGCCGTTCATCTCATTGATGATGGTTCTGATTTCTTCATTAGAAGGAGGGGCACTGATTCTGGAAAGGCGGCGATGATCAATGTCAGGGAACATGCAGGGAATGGAAGGGGTTTCTTGTTGCTCATCCTTCTTGAAAAGATTACAGTAGAACTCCCTTGCCATTTCCAGTAGAGCATCAGGATCAGTGACCCAAATGCCCTCATCCGACTTGAGGCAAGTAATTCTGTTTCTTTTCCTTCTGGTAAGAGTACTTGTATGGAAGAAACGTGTGTTTAGATCCCCAAGCAGCATCCAATTTGCACGCGATTTCTGCATCCAAAAGATCTCCTCCTGCCAGATGGTTTCTTCGAGCTCCTCTCTGATGCGTTGTTCCAACTCGAGCGAGCTTCTACTTTGTGAGGTCTCATTGTACTTCTCAATGTTTTGGAGACGGTTCGAGAGATGTCTTTTCCTTTTGAAGATGTTTCCAAAAGTTTCCTTGTTCCACTCCTGAAGCTTTTCTGCCAATGCCTGCAAGGACATTGGGAACTCAGAGCATCCATTCCAAGAGCAGGCAAGGAAAGGAAAGAAATCAGGATGAGCAAGCCATGGTGCAATAAATTGGAAGCGTCTCACCAGTTTTGCTTTGTTTTTCTGCTCCTCATTACATGTGAGAATTGGTCTGTGATCAGACTTGAGCTTGATCAGGTGTTGGGTTGAAGAAGCAGGGAATTGTTGGATCCATTCCAAATTGCAGAGACTGCGATCCAGTCTTTCTCTGATCCTAGACATCTTGGTAAACCAGGTAAACTTTGGTCCTGAGTAACCAAGATCAACCAGCCCACAGTCATTGATGCACTCATTGAAGTCTTTGGCTCTAGCTTGGTTGAAAGGAGCTCCACCCATCTTTTCGGATGGTCCAGTGATTGAATTGAAATCACCAGTCAGCAGCCAAGGAATCTTAGTTCTTCTGCCAATGTTCCTAAGATCCTGCCAAAGGTCTTTGCGGTCATGATCGTTAGGGCTAGCATAGATCGCTGTGATCACTCCCACTTCCTTATCTCCATTGTAGTATCGAAGATGGATAAATTGTCTCTTGCACTCAATGAGTTCCAGTGTAAGCTGTTTGCTATCCCATAGAACCCATATGCCACCACTGAAGCCAATAGCTTCAGAGATTTCCCAAGCGTCAAAACCAAGAGTTTTGATAACATCCAAAGCCTCTTTCCCGCTAATTCTTGGTTCGAGAATGCAAACCACATTAGGCGAGTTAGCAGCTCTGTACAAATCCAAAGTAGACTTAAATTTCTGGTGCTTTGCACCCCTACAGTTCCAGGAGAGGATCCTAATCATCAGATTGACAAAGGGAAGGACTCATGTTCACTCCCAGCGAGTGGAAATCATTTCAAATCAATGGTCATAGCCATTGATCCATTCTCGTTCTTACTTGCTCCCTTGTTCTGGGTTTTAGAGTAAGAACTCTGTTTCTTCTCTGTGGCCTCCTCAATGTGACCAAACATGATTTTTCTAGACGAGGTGTTACCTTCACTCTGTTGATCATTGGCCGTTCTCTGGGTCTGGCAGTCATGGTGGGATTTTGGAGCATTTTGCTTTGCCTTATCACCCTTAACTGCCTCATCAGGTGGCTTCTTAACCTTAGTCACACCCTTCTGCCTGGGCGAAGACATCAGCATCCTCCCCTGGTTCGGATCAGTGCTGGTATCTCCGTTCCTCTTCTTGTCTCCACTTCCTTGTTTAGGGGTTGTGGATAAGGATGAGGTAGTCGAAGTTGTGGCTTCGGTTGTTTTGGTTAGGGGGAGGGAAGCTTCTGGGGACGCCTTCTGGTTTTCCCTCCTTGATTTGTTACTCTGCTTCTGATTGTTTTCTTGCGGTGTCCGATGTTGCTTAGGGTTCTCTTCATCTTTGTCATTTTTGGACTTCTCTTTCGGTGTCTTTTTCGCTTGTTTCACTTGTGTCTTTCCTTGTGTTCTGGTCACTGAAACCTGTTCTTGCTGGGTTGTTGTTTCTGTTTTTGCTTCTGCTTCCTCCACATCCTCCATTGTCTCTGTTTCTTTTGCTTCCTCATCCAGTAGAGAGTTGAACCAGGAGCCCCCGACCTGCTCATTAGTTTTCTGATTGTCACCTCCTTTCACTTCAACATTAGGCTGCTTCCTCGGTGTTTGTTTTCTTCTTCTGTTCCTGGTTGCCAGCATCCATGGTCCAAAATCCTCAAGTATCTCAGGGCTAATCTCCTGTTCTTTCTCCTGTTCTTCTTTTCTCCCTGTTTGTTGATCTTCCCCTGTTTTGTTCTCGCGGCACGCCTCCTCCTGATGTCCGAATTTGCCACAAGAAAAACAGACTGTGTGAAGCCCTTCGTATTCAATCCTTCTCACCCTTCGCTTAATTCTGTATTTTGAGACTAATTTTTTTCCTGAGATCAATCTCAACACAGATCCGCGCATAGTTTCCTCTAACCCCGTTAGCTGTGTTGAAGTCGATTTTCTCCATTCTTCCCATCTTGTTTCCAATGTCGGTGAGAATTTCCTGATCGAAATAAGCGAGTGGGAGTCTTGGGAGCCTTACCCACACTGACGTTCTCTCAATGGTGTCGAAGTCAGGGTCAAAGTCGATCCGCCATGGTTCCGAGACGATGTAGTAATCGTCGACCGTCCATGGTCCTCCATACAACGCTCTGTCTCGATCCAGCTGTGAGTCGAAGGAGGCTTGGAAATAGCCGTTCCCAACATCGCTAACACGAATCCCTCCGGTACGGGCCCAAAGCTTTTGGATTCTTCGCTGGATGAACATAAACGGGAAGGATTTCCCCAGAATTCGGAACGTGACCGCCCGTTGAAACTTCTGACGAATTTTTGCATCGGTGTGCTTCTTGATTCTTATCGTTGGACATTCGGGGTCGTCTTCTGTATCTTCTTTATCTGAATCATCGGACATGAGGTCATCGCCTTCTGGGATGTCAATCGGCGGCCCATTGCCGAGCATTCGGTCTTTGTACGTACCTGTAATTCCCTTCGATGGGCTGCCATTTCCGCTGGGAGGGACAGTGTGAGCTCGCCCCTGTTCCGTCATGGTTGCGTCGTCATCGGAGTTCTCCGGCTCTGCCACCGCCGTCACCGCTGCCATTTCCGTATCATTCTGTCCCGCCAGTTCTCCATTGGATGTGGACTTGGACTTCTTGGTTGGTTGAACGGGGGATCCAGATGGGGAATCCGGTGGTTCCCTGTTGCGAGCGGCGGTCGTTTCCGTTGGAGGCATAGCCCCAACGGTCAAAAAGTTTGAAGAAACCAGGAGAGAGGGCGGAGGAACTTCTCTCTAAAAACTCTCTCTTACTTTATCTTTTGTTTGTTGATTTTCTGATTTAATAAACTCAATATAATTACTTAACTGGATGTGAAATTTTATTCATATATATGTTTTAATTTGCAAAACCTTTTAATTAGCTAAACCAAGTTAGCTAATGGGCTGAGTTTGAACTTTGAAGCCGATCCACCGTTAGACGGCTTATCGCGAACGTCTATCTGCGGGTTGAACGTAAGAAGGTGCAAAAGCCCAAACCGATCTCAAGGAAACGGGCTCAAGTCGGCCCAACAGACCCTTAGGCCTTTTACTTGCGTTCCCACACTCTGCAACTCGTACATGCGGCCGCATCTTATTATTATCTCGGAGACGACTGAGGAAGCAGGAAAAACCACTACTCTGTCTCTGCCTCTCAGTGACTGTGATTGGTACACTTCACTCTCGTTATTACTGCTTGTTCTCATTTCCGATCTTCCGAAAATGGCGGCAACGCTCTTCCGACGATTGGCCAGAGCCGCCGTCGGCGTCTCCAGGCGGCGGCGGAGGAGGCTATTCCAGGTCAAATTTCAACAGGTTGCGTTTCGCCATTGGCGCTATTTCGGCCGTTTCTGGAATGTCCTACATCTGCCATGGAGACCTCTCTCCTTTTCCACTTCATGGTTGGGTGTGTAATTTTTATGATCGTAGCTTTCATGTTAGAGATTTGAACTCGTTGTTGCTTAGATTTGTGAACCGCTAGTAGTAGTTGATTTTGCGTAGTTGGCTGTTCTGTGGCTGGTTGATTGTTTGAGATAAAGTTTTGAGAGATTCTGTTGACACCTAAAATTAATTTGGCCGAAATTAAATGCCGCATTAATTAGTCTCGGCATTTAATTCGATAACGGTGTCGTTTGGAGTTGAGCGGCGCCGTGGAAAATTAAAACGGTACCGCAAGGGAGCTCGGCGGTACCGCGTTATGGGAAACGACACCGCTTAATGAAAAACAAGAGGGGCCGCGCGTGTAGTTGGGTTGGAGAAGGGAGTTTTATAATTAAATATTTTTTCCTCGTCGGAAGAGGAAAATCGGCGCCGTGGAACATTAAAACGGTACCGCAAGGGAGCTCAGCGGTACCGCGGTACTGGAAACGACACCGGGGAATAAAGAAAGGAGGGCCGCGCGTGTGGTGTCTCGTGGGAGAAGGAGTTTTGTTTTAATTAATTAAATATTTTTAATCCGTGTTGGAGGAGGAAAATCGGTACCGCGGAGAGTTCAAACGGTACCGCGAGAGCTTGGCAAGCGGTACCGATGGGCAAGTGACCAAAATTCACACGGCCCCATGCGAGCGCCGACTCCGGCGGTACCGTGGATTAAATCGGCGGTGTCGTTTAATTTAAAAACGGTACCGCGAGTAGACCTAACGGTACCGCGGATTAGCAAACGACAGTGTTTAATAAAAAACAATGTCGCAAAAGGAAAAACAAATGGAACCGTTTTGGCTCTAACGATGTTGTTGGTCGTGGACTAGTGATGGTCAGTTAATTAATATTTTAATGACTTTTTAGCACGGTGTCGTTTAGTTGGAAACGATGCCGCAAAGGTAAGAAACGATACCGTGAGCAGGCCAAACGATGCCGCAACCGTTAAAACGACATTGTTTAAGATTAAAACAGTGTCGCGAAGCTCAAAAGTTCAACGACATCGCGGGACAAGGAAACGATGTTGTTTAACTGAGAACGACGCCGGGGGTGAGAGTTTGACGGCGAGTTAACAATGAGCGCTGGTTTAATTAATTACTATGTTATGATTATTTTAGACGGTATCGTTTAATACGATGCCGCGGAGAAGTAAAACGGCACCGCAAGACGAGAAAACAGTACCGCTGGGTAGATAACAATGACGCGAGGGATATCAACAGCACCGCGACACTAAGTAAACAACGGTGGCCAGTTAAAAACAGTGTTGCAAGAATATACCAGTGCCGCTAAGTGAACAAACGACGTTGTTTAGCTCCAAACAACGTTGCGAATCCCACATCGAGGAGTTGGGTCCAATGCTCAGAGACTCAAGAACACCACAGAATCAAGATTATTCATGCCGCAAGACCGCAAGCTCAACGGGATCGGGAATCAAATGTTGCTGCAAGTGCGGCCTGGTAAGTAACAACATTGCTTGCTCTAACCTAGATTGATTAAGGTCAGGCCGTGTTTGAACATGGTTGATCACGGAGCTAGTCGTTTGTGAAGCAAAGCAGTGAGTTCAATGATGTCAAGAAGCGGCATTGTTTCAATTCGATGACAAGCAGGCTAGTGATCAAGCATTGTTGAAGTCCTAGCTAAATAATGTCGTGATTCGGACAAGGGAGCAACATCACTGGTGTCGTTATGTATTTGACAATGCCGCAAATCCAACGTTTCTGCTTGGACGAGAAACGACGTTGTTTAGTGGAGAGCAACGTTGCTAGGGTTGAGATCGCTGGGAAATTTATTCCCCACAACGACGACGTTGTCGAGACAAGAGACTCTCATGCTCAGATTTTAGAAAGTGAAGCGGTGTTGTTTATGGTACGCCGCCGTATTATGAACAAGGATGAATGTAGTTTGGCTTGGGGAGTTGGGGGTGGATTATCGAACCCGGGTGGATAATTACAAGGGTGGCTCAATGTCGTTTTGTCGAGTTGCTGCTCAGCAAAGCGGTTTCGCACTCGTGGGAGTTACGCAACAAGGAAGAAGTTACCTGCACGGTTGACAGGAGTGAAGACGTGGGCGACAAAGGCGCGAAGGCAGTTACGGCGACGAGAAGAAGCGCGAAATATAAAGATTGGGAAGAGAGAGAAGTAGAAGGACGGCAAAATCAACTCAAAAACTGCACCGTCGCAGATTATCAGTTTTTCTCTCTAGTTTTCGTAGAACCGCTCTGTCAAAGACCTCCTTTGCAGAGTCGTAGTCATAGCTTGTAGTTGTAGTCGCGGAGCTCTCCAGAGGAACCTCCATAGGAGTAGAGGTAACGTAACTTAGAACACTCCTGGTTCGATTCTCTGTTTATTCGTCGAACACCCTCGTTCGAACGTAGTTTGGAGAGGTGTTGAACCGAATAACAGTTGTTTGATTAGAGGTCAAAGGTGTATCGATCAAATCAACGACGCCGACACCGGCGGCGGCCATTTGACGATCGTCTTGGTTTCTGCTTTAATCGATCAAATCAACGACGCCGACTTCGGCGGCGGATATTTGACGATCTTTTGCTGATTTTGTGTGTTTGTGTTTACTTGAAACCAGTGCACATTGAACACGCGAGTTTCGCCAACGAAACAAATTGGCACACCTGGTGGGACACGTGTGTTCGAATGGCTCCGCGACGAAGGAATCCGGAAGGGGATGTCCCGCCCGGAATCGTGGAGGAACATGTGGCCAACATTGAAGGAGGCCAAGGAATCGGTGCTGAAGACATCGGCGGGTCCGAGAATCCGCCGTCCACAGCTGGGCCGACTGGGGATCTGTCAATCCGCCATTTCATGGAGGAGAATCGTCGCATGTTTGCTAGCCTCAACAATGAGTTCGCAGGCTTCAAAGGCGAGGTAAATCAACGTTTTGACGCTTTAACTGCACGACATGATTCTCTTGAGTCTCGTGTTGATAGGCGTTTAGGCCAACTCTTTGAAGTTGTGACTAAAAACAGACATGATTTTGATGTTTTCGGGGATAAAAATCTACGTGATATGAATGAAATCAGGGAGCTCTTGGGTAGACCAGTAATGCAACCTAGAGATTTGCCGCTAAACGGTGAAAACAATTTAAACAGCGAAACTGGTTTTCCAAACAACAGTGCTCGAATTAGTCCGCCAAGACAAGGAGCTTCGCCGACACCGGTGATGAACCCACCAACTCCGCGAGTTAATCTTGGCGAGACTAGCACTGCCGC